ACTGGTGGCAACTGGGTTTCATGCACTGCAGATTTTGGAAGTCATACAGTGAACCAAAATTAATGTACACCGTTCAGAAAGTCAAAACCTAGATAAACTTTTTCTCCATAGAAAAATGTTTTTGTTTTTAAATAAAACCTCTAGTTTTATCTTTCTTACTATTTGCATTCATTGACAAAAAGTACACTGTTATATCACAGATAACTAACATGTATTAGTAATCGCACTGTGTGCAGACAGTAGAGACACGCACTGTACCTTTTATTGCAGAGGTAAATTAGGTGAGGTCAACCTCAGGGTGGAGCCTTCAAATTCACCATCTGGTAAAAGCTACGAGCACTTACATGTCAGGACATTTATCATCCCCCTCTAAAGAAGAACCCTACCTGAACCCAAACCAACATGTCAGAAAGTAAAAATCGAGGCTTCAGACCGAGCTGGCTGCAAAGCATCGCCTACATACATCAGCACACCTTCTGATCCACCAGACTGAAGTGCGTGCATGGACGCATACACAACCTGCTCCTCTATTCCCATAGCACCTTCCAACAGAAGTTCACTTTCAGTTCCATCCGCAGCGTCATCCCAAAGGGAGTGACGCCCAACTGGCATATCCCATTCAAATTTAAAAGGGAGAAACTAAGCCCACTGAAGGCTCACAACACCCAAACCCCCACCACACCTGCTGGGAACTCCCACAGCTCCTTCTCAAATGAGTTCTCTCACTGTGGTGATAAATATAGAGAAGAATAAAAATGAGCTTTGCTTTGCTTCACTGGGGCTGCAGGCTGTTGGTATAATAAAGATTTATGCATGGAGAAACAACAATCCCAAAGCAAAGCATTCATGTAAAACTCCATAAAAAAAAGATTAATCTGACCTCGTACAGAGAGATGCTTTACCACACTACTTGTCAAACAGGGGGATGCAACCTCGTAGAGGTTCACTGGAGAGGTACCTACTGCACAGCTTTTCATAAATTACACCTGAAATAACCCCACAGAAGTTTTGATAAGAATGGAGGTAAGGTGACGCCTTTCTATCTAGCTACCACTGCTGATTTCCAACCCTTAAGAAAACTGAGGCCAGTTTCTCAGTACTTACCTTCATATTCTACAAAGCCCATGACTTTCCCACAGGTTCCCATTAAAGGAGTAAAGGAAGTATGCAATTGCTATCAAGCCTACCTGATCGCTATGCATCACCCTCCTGATGTCAGAGAGAGAAGAATCTGTTGGAGAAGAAGAGGTCCCAATTGGCAACTCCATCCCCATTGGAGCTGTACTAGGCTTTTGACCCACTAGTTCTGGTTCCCTTCAGCCAGCCTCTTAATATCAGTGGGAGAATCAAGAACTGTTCCCTACGTACCTCATTTAAAGCACGTCTCCATCACAGCTCACAAAGGCACAGAGCAAGAAGTTAATTATATTTCCTTCCCAAACAAACAAGATTCTCTGGTTTCTCAGACGTTATAGACACTTGCCTCTCTGCATGATGATTGAGCATCGCACACTAATACACAGGATTGGGTCTTTTGCTTCCCCACTGCCTCTCCTTCTCAAATCTTCTCACTAGTTCTATCATGTTGCTCAAATTGCTCATCTCTCCATGTCAGGAGTAGCTGATCCTCTCACAGTCTCCCAAAGACAAAGGTGACCAAGTACAATGAAAACCAATCTGTGATCATCTTGTTAGTCTCCTAACATCTTGCTATGAGACTAAACATGAT